CCTCCCCAGGCACAACTTGAGGCCATTTTCTCTTGTCCTATCGCTAGTTACCGGGCAGATAGTTGTAGAGGGCAATAAGGTCTCCCCTTCAGCCTCCTCTTCTCTGGACTAAACAACCCCAGCTCCCTCAGTCGCTCCTTGTAAGACTTTTTCTCCAGACCCTTCACCAGCTTTGTTGCCCTTCTCTGGACACGCTCCTGCAGCTCAAATGAAAAAATGAAAAAATGAAAGCTTCAAATGAAAAAAGCTACCAAAGCCTGTCAATCCCAAGCAAGGTTCTTGAGCAGCATGAATGGTTGCTGTCTTCTGGTCCAATTCCTTCATAAATGTTGCTGTTCTTTGCCCACCTCACAGTTCTTGGAATATTTCCTCTGGTATAGATAACAGTTTCTCATATGCTGCCACATCACATGTGTTATGCAAACCCAAACTGAGAAGAACTACTACTTATCCTATGTTGAGAAAAATCAGTTTAATAACACATAGATGGAAGGTTAATTTGACAAAAGCTTCCTTTGTTATCCCGTTCTGTGTGTGTGTGTGTGTGTGTGTGTGTCCCAACTTCCTCTGTCCTTACATCTGGTCTAAAGCCTACAGTAAAACTGCTGTCTGACTAAAGGGCCTGCACTTTCTCATCACATCCCTCCCTTCCTACGCTGAAGGACAGGTGGCCCATTTGCTTTTCTTCGCAGTCAGAGTTGTGTTCCCATGCCATAGAGATAGGAAAAGCCCTTACGTCTCACCCGGCAGTTCCATGTGCCAGCTCTTGCAGAACCTGGCAGTGGGGATTAGCAAGCTCCTGGCAGTATGAGTTTATTCACTTCCGTATTTGCCTTTTACCTTGTTGTGGTAATTGTGATCCAGCACCTTCATTCCCAGGAAACCATTTGTACTTTTCCTCAGTTTTTACACTGTTATCTTTATTTTAGCACAAGATCATGGTCATCTAAGGAACTAGCTCACTTATCTCACTTTGCTCAGCAGACTAAGAATTCTGTGCGTACAGGGAAGAGTAGAGCTCCTATTTTATATTTAGCGTGCAACCTCAAGAGTGTTCTGACTTAAATTCAAGCCTACTCTTCATTCAAGTTGTTAAACTCCTTTTCAGCTTAAATGAATTATTTTAAGCTGAATCCGGAATTTATCAAAGTTTGGTACCTTGAATTTGAGAAAAGCAGCAACAACAACCAAAAAACTCCAAGCCAACCGAACAAAACACTTAGTTGTAAACATGTTTTTTAGAATTTAGAGGCTATGATGTCTCAGTCCACAGCAGGGGCAGACAGGATGCATTTATATGATTAAATGAGAGGAGGAGGGACAGGCTGCCCTGTCTTGAAATTGTTGTGTGACACACAACTTTGTTCCCTGGCTGGTCAAAAGAAGAATTTGCTAAAGGAACCCCCAGCTCTACTTTATTCAAAATAGGCAAAGCATCTATTTTTATTGTAGGCTTTGCAAGAACTACCTGATCTGCTCTGCACAGAATATTCCTGTAAGAATGTGAAAGACTTTTAAAAGGAGTTCTGTGATGCAAAAGAAGTTGTGTTTTACAGAAAAAGATACCTATCAAATAAACTAGAACACAGAAAACTAAATCCTGAAACTGTGAGACTTTAATAAGAGAAGAAATTTTTTTTTGGTCTGTAAAGCCTGAATAATAGGAGAGAGAGTCTACTAGCTTAAGAAGTACTGTTGAGCTTTGCAAGTGCAGCTGCCAGGGTCAGATCTCATTCCTGGGTGATGCCATCTTAGTTAGAAACCACAGGGATGATTAGATATGTATGCAAGGAACAGCATTAACACTTTTAGAGATTTACCACTTTCTAAAGGGCACATAGCAGCTTACGATGTTTGTACTCGAAGTATCTGTACAGAATTAGACAGGTTAGCATAACAGATCGTGAAAGCTCAGCTGTGAAATGTTTCTGTGAAGTATTGGTCTGGCTCTAGATAAAACATTCTTCACTGACTCAAGGAAGTCCAGGGTTTCAATTAGACACTAATCAGTATTCCTATGTGTGACACCCTTACACACTTGGAATGTCAAACCAGTTCTAATATGACAGTAATGCAGTTTCTGTGACCTTTTCTCTTTTGATGAGAAAATTCTGGGTGTGAAATAGGCTTATACTCAGTTTGGGAAGGACTTTTAGTCATCTAGCCTAGGAAATTCTAAACAAGATTAATATTTGCAGTTTTAAAAGGAGGAAAGGGGATTTCTTTGGGGCAAAATGGTGAAATAATTTTTCTATTCAAGCCCCTATTAAATATTATCTTTCCAGGTCTTGGCTGTAGAGTACAGTTGAACTGAAGAAATTTTCTGCCTGAAGCCAAAACAAACAGAAAATCACTAAGAGAAATAGGGTGGGAGCCTTCAAACAGAAGGTGTACTAGTTACTTGTTTCAGAGATGAAGAAAATGCATTTAAAGGTAAGAGAAAATGCAGGAAGATTGCTTGGTACATCTTGAAATAAAAGAACCTCTAAGGTTACTTACAGGTTTTTGTGGTTTGAGCATTAAGGTGACCTTGAAGGTTAATTTAGATGATAGTCTGTTTAATTTCTATTCTCACATAGCAAAATATAAACTGTTTTCTCATAGGAATACAATGAGGATTTATTGGATCTACTCTGCAGTTCTTGGGAATGAAAAAGAAAAATCACTTAGTTAAAAATGTGTGCACTGCTATTATCATGAGGCTTCTTTCCTAACATAAGCATTGCAATTCCAGTAGGATGTGGACAATATGAAGGCCATTTACACAGGCTCATTTTTCTATGTCTTTTGGTTTATACCAGACACCACCTCCAAAGCCTACTGAAATCCTACTTCAGTAGGATTTAAGTCAGACCATACTTTTCTCCCACATTAAGTGAAACACCTGCATTTATGGGTTTTAGGAATTACTTTTGCAGCATACTGCTTATCACCAAATAGCACGGTTGCACTGGGTGGTGGAAGTGGTGGAAATCCTCTTGTTCCTTGCCTCTTTGCAACCTCTGCCCTCAGGTCTCCCTCCTATTCTGGATCTGGGTATGGAGAGACAAATAGATACTATATTCCTCTGGGTCCCATCCAGCTCAGATATAGATGAAATTGGACTCTGAAGTGGGATATAACATCCTATTTTGTGTAGGGGTCATGAGTAGGTTACTACATCCATGAAGTGAAGGATGGCACTCCTGAGCAACGTAGCTACATGCTTGTTCTCCCCTCGGGCTGAAATTACAGCCATATTCCAGTCCATAGCATAATCTAACCATAAATGCAGGGGCACTTACTATATTCGAAATGCCCATCTGTCATAAGTAGTTGTGGGAGAATGGTTCCTCTCTGAACAAGGGCTACACAAGGTTAGCTTCTGTTTTAAGATTAGGACAGAAATGAAATCTGTTTAAACTTCTGGTTTATGTCAAATTACATCAAATCAAAAGAAGGCTATGGTTCTGCCCATAGCCTCATAGAAAATAATGGATTAATATTTCCTTAGAGTAGTCTAAGAGATTAGGACATAAACTGTCCATTGAAATTGTGTCTTAACCCCCCCGAGGGCCTTGCAAAACCTAGCAATGCTCTCTGCTCTGAAGTATTCAGAAGTTGTTAGGCTGTTCCATTTATTTTTTAGTTTCTTTAGCTGGTATAAATGGATGCAGTGGAGTTTCACTATTTTTCACCAGCTGAAGTACTGGTCCCACAGTGGTTGAAATAGAGGAGAGTTAAAGAAGAATTCGAGCAATAGGCAAGAGCTGGATGGGGATGTCTACTTAAATGTATATTCTGTAAACGCTTATCCTGATTTTTTGCTTTCTAGTGTCTGAACCAAACAAAACAAGTACAAACAGTTTTACAGACTGGTTAGCACTTGTTTGGTACAGAAAAGGATAACAAACCTACTCTAGGAATGAAGAAACACCCCAGATATCTTTGGGCAGCTGCAATATTAGGAGTTTGCTGTAGTTCACAGCAAGTAAACCCTCACAGCAGAGCTATTTGGATGCTAATGTTTCTTTTCAGATGCTCACACGTGTTTACTTTTAAAGACGTGTAAACCCCACAGAAAATAGTCACAAAGGGTGGGCAAACATTGTACCACCATTAGAAAAGAAATTTAAATAAATTAAGATCCTTTGCACTACATGCGAAATGCACATTTCCAATCCTAACTTCTTTCACCAGGTACGTAGCTGAGTCCCTCTAGTGGCACAAACATTTCTTTGGCTTCAGCATGTTATTAAAATTCTATTTTACAGTCACATTATAGCAACAAATTCACAGGTAGCTTTTTTTGGACACTCTGAGGGCTGTGGCAAAGTGAATTCTGGATCAGATACTGTGCAGGCTGGTGTTAATGAATGTAAATTGATTTTTAGCTGTGAGGGGTAATTAGAGATGCACTGGAAGGAGAAGGGAATTTTTGAAAGGATATTCTAGAACTAATTACTATCAGTAAGAAACACGCAAAGAGCAACGTAATACCCAGGATAACCAATAGGAATAAAAGCTTATACACACATCTGTCATGACCTAGTAGTGAAGACTGTTTAAAAACACTGATCTCCACTTAGCTTGTAAATGCGCATCACCCTCTTTCTCACTCATATATCCTCTCTCTCTCTCTGACACACGCACACACACACAAGCTCCTGGTTTTGCAGAAGACAGACACCTAGGATACTTCTTGGCATCCACAGGAAAATCACATGGGATTAAAAAACCACAGCAGTAAGTACCCACTTCATTAAATGTTTATTAAGTGGCATGCTGTCAAAACCTAGATTTAATAGCAAATACAGGGGGACTTGAATGGAAATTGGTTGTATTTGATTTTTTTCCTTAGGAATTGCTGAAAGCTGCCTCTCAAGGACTACAACTTCTCCTTTTGCTTTTACGGATGCTTGTTTACTATCCATGTGGTAACCTCTGGACAGTCAGTAATCCACTCATTATCCACCCTGATTGAGTGCAGGAGTAGTGCAGTGGTAACCACTTCGCTCAGCTGACGGCAGACGACAAAAGGAGGGAAATGATGAATTCGGACAATTTAACCTCCCAAAGCTTCCTCTCTGCGATTCACAGCAATGCCAGCAATCTATTCTCAGGGCTCCAGTTTGTTCAGTCCTTCAAGCCACTCATCATCCCCTGCTACTCGCTAGTGGTTTTTATTGGTGTCATTGGGAATTACCTTCTCATTTATGTTATCTGCAAGACAAAAAAAATGCACAACGTCACCAACTTTCTGGTAGGCAATCTGGCTTTCTCAGACATGCTCATGTGTGCAACCTGTGTGCCCCTGACACTCGCCTATGCCTTTGAGCCCAGAGGATGGGTGTACGGGCGTTTCATGTGCTACTTTGTTTTCCTGATGCAACCCGTCACTGTGTTTGTGTCTGTCTTTACCTTGACTGTCATAGCTGTGGATAGGTATTACGCTATGGTGTACCCCTTCCGCAGAAGGCTCACAATCCCTATTTGTGCTTATATCCTGGCTGCTATTTGGCTGCTGAGCTGTACCTTGGCTGCCCCAGCCTTGGTCCACACTTACCATGCAGAGTTCCCAGAACTGGACTTCTCCATCTGCGAGGAGTTTTGGTTCCACATGAAAAGAGATCGCTTAGCTTACGCCTACAGCACGCTCATCATCACCTATGTACTGCCTTTGGCTGTCATCTCCCTGTCCTACCTGAGAATCTCAGTCAAGCTGAAAAACCGTGTAGTCCCAGGCAATGTCACCCAGGGCCAAGCTGAGTGGGACCGTGCAAGGAGGAGAAAGACTTTTCGCTTGCTCGTCTTAGTGGTGGCAGCCTTTGGAGTCTGTTGGCTGCCTCTGCACATCTTCAACATGATAAAGGACATAGACATCAGCTTGATTGACAAGCAGTACTTCAACTTCATCCAGCTGCTGTGCCACTGGTTTGCAATGATGTCTGCTTGTACCAATGCCTTCCTCTATGCCTGGCTCCATGACAGCTTCAGGGGGGAGCTGAAGAAAATGTTTGCCTGGAGAAAGAAGAAAATTGGACCCACTACAAACTGCATTATGGCCAGCGTGGTGCTGTAAACGAGAGCTGGTGGGAGTGCATTTCCTTTGTACGGTAACACTGTAAGTCTTTTCCACTTCTAATTAGTCCTCATTCCTGATTTTTTTCCCTCAGGGCTCAATTATAACAACATAAGTCCCTTGCGTATCTTCCCCAGCTCCTCCGCTCCTACTGGAGAAGGAGAGGCAGACGTCATGTCCCAAAAATGTCCCTACTTCTTTGACGGGAGCTGGAGGCCAAGGAGATGTTAGAACAAAAAGATACCCTTATGTAAACTACAGGGATCCTCCCTGTCTGTTTTGGATATTGCTGGCAGTACAGGTATGGGATTTTGGGACAGGGAGAAGTAAGGATGAAAATGAGACCTAAATACCTCAATGAGGAAGTGGTTTAGATCAGGTAAAAATTAAATCTGCATATCGACCCAGAGTCCGGTCCTTAGCACAGGGTCTAAAGCAGAAGACTAACAATATTTCTGTAGTTCTCTTGGGTGAGGGTCATGCTGAAAATACCCTAAGGCTCTCCGAAATGCCCTTCCTGAGCAGCCATCTCAACTGTGGGCTGGAAACCGGGTTGGTAGGAGCTGCCCTGAGCCTCCCTCTGCCAGCTGGGCAGAGAGTGCAGGGCCCTTCCCCACCCCTGCGGGTGCCAGTGATGCGCAGGGTGATGGCATCAGCTCACTTGCTCTCCCTCCAAGCACCCCTGTACAAGACGACTGGCTCGCTTGCATGCCCGTGGCCCTTGGTGGGGTGTGCTGTGTCTGCCCTCCGTGGTTTCCTCCCTTACTGCCATTTTCTCCTTGCTGCTGGCCGTGTGGATGGAGGAGTAACCTTCGCAACAGAGCCGCTCATCTGCCCGCTGTGGGCAACCATGATGGGCAGGAATCTGTGCTTTGCATTTTCTGAACCCAGCATTATCATGCAATCCCAAATCTCCCGTGTCTTGTGAACCTGCAGCAGAGCATATAGCAAGGTGAGATGCAGTATTGTGAGAGGGGAAATAAAACTGGAGTGATGTTATTTTTATGAGGTGCAACGGCGATGCAGAGTGTGCAACAGACTATTTGGTGGATGTGCTGGCGCTGTCATCAAGGATGGACAGACTGTAAACATAGCTTGTGGTGGAAAATCATCCAAAGAGGGCAACATTAAGACATACCACCACTTTACCAACATTGAAATGTATTTTTGTCATTGGCTCGTGTAACCCCAATTTGCTGTCTCTACTGCAAGTCAGCTGTGTTCCCAGCCAGAGGAGTGGACGTCATAGTAACCTTGTGAGTGCTGAGATGCTTTCCACTTATTCATTGAGGAACCGATTTTGATGTCTGACAAAGCTGCCATCAGCTTTGATCTCCAGAGATAGACAGAGACTTTGACACTGTCTTCAGGAGCACTTCTGGTGGTGTCTGTTAAGAGACAGGGGGTTGAAGGGGCTGTTGACATTGAGCCATGTATGGGCTTTGCGTGACCAGTCAAAGAAACACCTGTCAAATGGAGCAGAGTGGCAAGTGCTCTCTTTTGAAGGAGTCTTTTATGAAGAAACAATTTCCTTTGACAGTCACTTTTCAATCAGATGAGGGAGTTAGAAGCTATAATCAACCTAGCTTCTTCCTCTCTGAACTGAAAATATCTGAGATAATGCAGAAGTATAAGGGACAAAGTTCTGAAAGCAGACATTGCTTCTTCCAGCCTGCTCAACTGTAATCTGGGATGGCTTGAGGAACTGCCTGATACTGAGCTGACATCAGCTGGAGAAGAAGCTCAGTCCCAGGGCAGTTTTGGCCATGGTCAGCAAGTACATCTGTCCGACCGCAACTGCACATGGCCAGAAATGTATGCGCTGTGAGGCAATGCAAATAGACAAGAGGGAAAGGGAAGAAAGAGAGGATGGTTTCTCTAGTTTGTAAATGTACTCCTACTGTGAAACTGTGAATATCATTTTGCTCATCAGCATTCAGTAAACTTAGTCTGGTTAAAAAAATATAGAGGTGCATATGCACACAGTGGGAAAAGCATTGGAAAAACATTTGAAATCTCTTTTCACAAATTTCCTTAGAGTGTCAAGCTGTTCTGCTGCTGGTAATGAGGAACTGGGTAGCAGAAGTTGGTTACAGAGATGTTGAATCAAGGAGGCCCTTTTAAAGTGGGCTTTACTTGCGTTCACTCTGTGATTAACTGCATCTGCCTTGCTTACCCTGATTTCAAGATCTGAATGACCTATTAAAGCTTGTTTTACTTTTGCTGAATTTTAGGAAGTTGTTTTTCCTTCAAGCTCAATATAGCAAGTTACTGGAATAACTAGTGATTTCAAAAAGTCAAAAAACCCCTTCCATAGAGCCCAAAGTTTTATAAGGTTTTCAGCTTTTGTTTCAGGGCTTTTTTGAAGAGAACAGAGAATAGGACACAGAGAGCACTGAAAAGACACTGCCAAAAGCAGCTTTAAATAACAACAAAATCCTGATTTTTAGAGATTTTTCTTCTACAGAATTATGTTACTTCAACCTGTTAATTTGTCAGTTTGTAAAGGTTAATTAGCATTGAGATGGCCCGTAGTGTTTACAACCTCATGCACTAAATACAGGCAGCACTGTAATCCAGAGCGATCCAAAGCCCAGCAGAGTAACTGGGAAGACTCTTGTTAACCACCACAGGCCTGGGATTATTTCCTTCTTACTCTTCATGTTTTTACCCTCATTTGTGCCAGCACTGCAGTTTGGCTTCTTAATGTTCTCTTGAATGTTAGTGACTTCAGATGGCTGCTGCAGAGAGCTGCACGAAGCAAACAAGAGGGATTTCTCTCTCTATTTTTTTTCTTCTTTTTTTCCTTGAGACAGAAATGAAGGGCTGTTCAGTGCATATATTGTTGCCACAGAGACGAACGCTGGCTCCCGGCAGCCTCTGAATCTGCCGTTAGAGCAGTGCTGAGGTCTGTCATGTCAAGAAGGTCCTCAGGAGTGCCCAGCACAGTTGGAACCCTCATTTAAGTGCTGGTTTAACCTGTATATGCCTTGAACCTGTCAGGACTTGCATTTGCAGAAGAAAGCTCAGAGCCTGCCCCTTGCTTCAGGCCCTTCTCAGATCGAGGTTTTGCAGATGCATCCTGAAATGATCCGTGTTCCCCAGCCGTGGGCTCCTGAAGCTCCTTCTCTCTCCTTGGCAGCCCCCTTGGCTCATCTCAGTGATCCTGCAAGGCCGTTTTTCCAGGATTTCCCTGCACGGGGCACAAGGGAGGTCTGGCCCCAAGCAGAAGGGCTGGGGGTCCCGCAGGGTGGCAGGGACCAAGGCACAGCCACATCCACTCAGCCCCGCCTCTGAATAGAGCCCCAAGAATCTCTGCCTAGTGTAATTACTGTTTTCTCTGATATCCAGAGTAATAAACAATACAAGATTTAGAGGCTCGTTGGTGTGTTTCTTTAATCCGGTTAGGCAAATAATTATATTAAAGGCCATCATGTGAAATGTGTTTGCTGATCTCCACCACTCTCTGGGGAACTGCTATGGTTCTTTGAGGGACCAGGGCTCATCACTACAATATTTTTGGTGGTATAATTTTTAAATACAATTTAAGAAATCATTGCATGCTTTGATTTTACAAAGTAACCCGGTTCAAACTTTGGTGAACCTATTAACTTTCCCTGTAACAGTTTTAGCTGTTGTTTCTTGCTTACGTTCAAATCCAAGGACTCGCACACCGCAGAGCAGCTGCTTTGCAGGGATGGAGCAGGGTTTGCATCTGGGCTGAGGTACGGCAGAATGCTACACGCTCCTTGTCTGCTGCGTTTTCATTCCAGTTGTTTACATGTACTGAGAGATTTTTAGCAGGTAGAGACCCAGGTGTTCTGCATTTTACAGCAGCAAATACATGTTATTTATGATGGCTCCTCAGACTGTTCCTCAAGGGCAGTCTCTGCTAAACACTTCTAGATGTACACGTGCTCTGTGTGGTGTTTTCACGTAAATATTAAATGCATTAGCCAGCAAGTGGATTATCAGAGCATGGTGAGTCTTGGGCTTTGGAAATGGAAGACCCACGTAGGACCACATCCACTCATCGTAAAAATCATCTGGGAGATTTCACTGGGGCCAAGCCTTTACAGCTAGGAAGGCTCTGCATAGCTTAAATGTGGAGATTAACAGAGATATAGAAGCAGTTAATGGGGAGAGGCAGGGGAGAGTGAGATGTCTTCACTTAAAGTGAAGAGCACAGATTTAGATAGCAGGAATCACAGCTTCACAATTTGAAGCTATTCTGCATAGCTGTTGGAAGGACTCACAGAGCATCCCTCTAGCAAATACACTGTATTTCCAATGTTTATAGATGCAGCAATGCTTGATCAAACATAAGCTACTTCTTATGGTCAAACATGGGATTGGTATTAAAAAGGCAATGTACTTATGAAACACATAAAAAAGTAAATCAGTATTTGATCAGGAATTAAAAACAGATTAGACAGTGAACAAAGGTCACTAAATCTGAAATCAGGCAGCCAAAGAAAAACAACAGTTAATCAAACCTCAGTTAGAGTCAGTGGAGCTGGTCTCTCCCCCACCTTGAAAATTGCAGCTCAGAGCAGGCAACAAAGACTAACTTGTTTGTGCAATGCCTTGCTTTAAATAAATTTTCCTTATACTTGGATGAAGAAAACTGCGAGAGCAGTATTTGCATCATATTTGGGGAATGGCAGTTTATCTGGGGTGGGCGAAAGCAGATCCTGCCATAAGGCCATTACTCATAGGAGCACGGTGAGTGCTTCCCAGCTGATAGATTGGCTGGAAAAGCTGGTATTTTTCATACCAGCAGAACAGCAGATGCTCTGTACAGTTTTAATTGAGCGACTCTTGCCTGTTGAAGTGTCAATGGTGAGTTATAATTAGATGTCTAAGATTATACAGGGTATGGGTGTAAGCCAAAAATGGTACACCTGCAGTTGGGGAAGAAAAAAAAAAGCCAAATCAGACAGAACTGTACAATGCATCCATCAATCTACCCACCAGATTAGAAGAGGGCAGAGAGACAAACAGCGTGCTAGTGGTAAAGC